GGCCATCCCTGCGCGTCAGTTGCCTTCCATGTGATCAAAAGAGCAGAATCCTCTTCAAAAGGTACAATTCTAGGGGTTGATTCCCCATTCTTTTCAACCATCGTTCTTTCCAAAAACCTGCCGTTTTCCCTGGGTTTCCGAGGTTTTCTAGACAGAAGGATCCCTGAAAAGAATGGGGATGGGGAAGGTACCCCTAGAACAATGGCAACTGAAGTCCTCAACCAAATCAAACAAGACTCTGTTGTAGAACAGCACTCGTCTTGGCCACATCCAACCCAAGAAGAAGAATCAACACGGAAGCTGCCAGTGACCTGGTCATCTCATTCGAGCATAATCCGGTCATTTCACTCAAGAATAAGTCGTTTGTAGATGGATGGAACCTTGTACATTCCTGGCTTCAACCCCCGAACACTAGCATGCTGCCATCGGAGATTTGCGGCGTCGAGTTGGAAAGCTCTGACCTTGCCAAAGGCCGCGGGGCGTCGTTCAAAGTCGACCCCAAAATGCTTGATTTCCGTCTGGCTCCCCTTCAAGACCATTAAAAACAGGGGGTTACCCTCCAAAAAAGCACCTGAAGGGAACATTTGGCAAGGCCTGAAACCCAATCAACCGGGGGGTGGGGTGGGGGGGGTTAGCACTGGTCCAAGAGCTGAATCGTCCATGGCGCTGCTGGATCACGCGGTCCAGCAGCTGCTGCATGGCGTCCGAAAGCTCCACGGTCGGCGGCGGGGCATCGGGCAACGCTCGCGGCAGGGAAGATGTCGTCTTGCTGGACTTCCTCAGCCGGGATGTGGGGGAGGAGGGAGGAGGGAGGAGGGAGAGGGGGGGGCGGGGGATTAGGGGCAATCCAAGTTGAGAGTTTCTCCAAACAGCTCCACCCCTTGCAGCTGAAAGGGAAACCAAAATCAATAGCCAACCTTTGTAGGGGACCCCTATGTTGAGAAACACGCATTTGATCATCTTTGAATCTGAGACCAGGAGGAGGGGAGCATAACCAGGGTCACCAGCCCACTGGCCCTGGTTAAAGAAGGGACAGTTTTGCCAGAATTGACAAAGGTTTAGCGGGAACCCACTAGACCAAAAGGGAAAGGAGATGCCACCCAGCCTGTTTTGCCGTAGAAGCCACCCAGCAACGCAAAAAAGTCGCGACCGGCTAGCGGGCAACCCACGAATATGTAAGGGCTTGGTTTTCAAAAGCTTGAGCCTGCCCCGTCGCTAGAAGTTGCGAAACGATTCGATCAGTTTGCCTTGCACGGTTTGCAGGGAGGAGCACATCTCCGACGAAACGTGGCCAGTGTTGAGTCTTGCGCACCTGCTCCCAAATGCCTATTAGCGCATGTCAAAAGGAAGCTAGCTAGCCTTGTGCAGAGGAAAATGAGCCTCACGAGTTTTGAACCTTCCCCCCTGGAATCTCCCCACTTTCCTGGAACCTTCCCGGAACAGACTCCACGAAACTCAGCCCAGATTGCGCCCATGAGCAAACCGGGTGCAGAAGCACCAGCAAGCCAAGGCCAAGCCACGTCTCCGGATGAAATACAGCTGTTTGGCCAGAAAACACTTTTTTTAAGTGTTTTTGGACCATGTTCCTATCACAAACCACATCCCCACGAATGAAGCGCCGCCTCCTGAGTAACAGTTTGAGCTCTTCGGCCCGATTTCAAGTCGGCCGTTTTGTGTTCCCAGTGTGGCCGGTCGTGATTTTCATGAGGTCATGGATTTGCGCCAAGGGATCCCCGTTTCCATTTCCCGGCCAAAACCAAACTCAAAAAGGATACCCTCAAGACAGGTGACGATTTTGGCAACAAGTCGATGGCCTTGCGGAACAGAACCCGTCCAAAACCAGTGTCATCCATGTCAAAGGTCTATCCTGGCTAACACCAAAAGCACATGCTCAAAATCCCCCCCCCAGCAACCTGAAGCACGTCCCAGGCGCAGGGTCCCAAGGGGGGGCGGACCAACGCCCTTCATCTCCGGGGCAGCAGCATGGGGCGTCTCCGGCTCCTGGCGCGAGAGCGCAGGGAATGAGTATGGAATGACCCCAGAAAAAAATACCTCCTCGATTTGGATTCCTTTTAAGGATATCCAACTCATTCCCGACTGACCAGCAAGTCATGGACCCACATCAACCGTTTATAGGGGGCGTCCCTGGCTTTAGAGAACACACTGGGGTTGGTGAGTATGAAGTCAATATTCTGTAAAAGCGACACCTCTTCACAAATACAATGGGCTGAGGCCTCTCAAATGGTTTCAAATGTTCGAGCCTACGGTATTGAGACAAGCACCTCCAACCAAGCCTTGATTTTCTGCCAACGGCTTTGAGTAGTTGTGGGCGCCCTGCGGAACTCACAAACAGCAAAACAACAGCAGGGGCAAGGAACATGCCAACAAGAGAAGAGACATCCCTCCAAAGCATCCCCTGGTGTACGTGCAACACCCGCCTCCAGCTCAGGCACGAAAGGGTGATGAAATGACATGGCAAACTGCCTATGTAGACTGAGCCCGGCGGCACCATCCGGTCTTAGGCGCGGACGCACACGGCACATTGGCCAAGATCGTGGCAGCAAGATCCCGGCATATGCCACATGCACATGCATATCTTATGAGTGGCCAGAGTGAGGGGGTGCATCGAAAGGAGTGTCAAAAGGCCTACCATACGCAGGTAACGAGCCCACATCGTACAAGCCCTTAGATAAGGCGCCCGCGTTCAATATACTCCACAGCGCGCGCATCATGAGTTGAGTGGACGTAGGGGATTCCACACTGCGAGCTCGTTCCGTGCGCCGGAAAGGATCGCATCATACTAAATCATGGCAGCTCATGATCCTGAACTACGACGTCAGTATGGGTCTGTTTGTTAAGGGCACCCATGTTTTGCATTTTCGGGGGAGGGTCAAATTGAAAAACAAAAACACAAGAACGACATCCAATCCCTCTCTTTCGAGCCGACTTGCAACCGGAGCAAAGTCGCGCTGCCTGGGATGAATCGAACTGACATTCTGCCACTGGAGGTCTCTGAGTCATTGACTCGCGGACTGCTAGTAGGCAAGAATTAAGAAAGCAGGTTGATTCGGGCCCTAAATGAAATTGCAGGGACTTCCGTCGAAGAACCGACCTGTAAATGTCGCATCCGGAAAAACAATCCCCCCCCCAAAGAAAAAATGAAGTTCGCATATACTTCATGGCACGCCCAAGTAACCAACCCGAAAATGCACGTCCCATCCAACAATTTGCACACTGCGCTGCCCTTCGATTCGCTTTTTGTTGGGGCGCCCCGGCGCCGCTGCGGCACGCCAGCTGAGGATTCAGCACCGCGAAGATGTCCCCAGCCTGGCGGGAGGGCTGGAGAAAACTTGCGATCGGCGCGAGAGATGCAGGGAATGAGCAAGGGAATGATCGCAAGGAACAGGGCTCCCTATAATTATTTCCCCTCGAAACATCACCCTTGCCAAGGGAAACTCACCTTCAACGGGCCAAAAAGGTGATGTTTGAAACTACAAAAAAGGAAATATAGGGACCCTTGAGGAAAACCATCCAACTGGTGGTTTCCTTTATTCGGGAACCCCCAGGTTCATGCCCTCATGAAAATATCTGTTTAAAAGCGCGGAAGAGCTGATCCCTGCGGCGAAAAATAGCATTCGGTTGGTTTGCCTGCATTATTTGTTTGGGTTCCTTGCGTTTCGAAATTCTACGACAGGGGTGTGCTTGGCTCAGACTTGCTTACAGCGTTGCCTGAGTTGCCTGCTACATATGGGTCAAATCTCGTACCCCCAGTGAACATCCCAATCCCCACTAAAACAAACTAGAATGGGTGGTGCACCTACCCCAAAATGGTACCGTTGGTTTTGACCTACAGCCACATGTTTGTGGAGTTGTTCAGGCATGGGTGACCGGTCAGTCTCTTCTAACCTGCCAGCAACCACAACCCCTTCGACGCCTTCACCTCCTGAAGGCTCCAATGCTCCCTGGCACGATCGAGCAGCATCAGGGTGGCCTAGCGAGGCCAAGAAGGAAACCACACAAGCCACAGGCGACGCGACACGAGCATCTTTCGGAGCAAAACGTTCCCTTGGATCTTCCGTGTTTTTTTTCAGAAATCAGATTGCTCCACTTACATCGGCCGACCGAGGGGTGCTTGGGTGGGGTCTGCCGGCTAGTTTAGCATTGGCTGGGGAAGGCAATGCTCTGTGCGCTTTAGTACTTGAAGCTGCAAGTCTGAGCAATGCGGAAGCATGTGCAATCTCTAATTATCCGCTTGGCAGTGCTCACGAGAGGCGGGGGCCCTAGCTTTTGAGGACAGAGAGGGCTCAAGCCACATGAGTTGAAGCTGCCTGATAGCCGCCGCTTCCGCGGAAGCGAACCCGAGGAAGAAGCAGCGGCTTGGCTTCTGTGGGGAGTGGCCAGGCGATTTGTGGCACGCTGACCCGAAGCCCGAGCCAAGCCTCTGCCGGGATGTCCAGATCCAAATCCGTCAGCTTCCACTCCTTGCGCAAGTGGCCTGCCCCAAGAACCTTGCTGGCCATGGGTTTCAAAATCCAAATCGTACCCAGTGAACATCAACTAATCCAACTATAGGTTCTAAAATGGGTTATAAACCAATCCCCCAAAATGGCCACCAAAACGGTTTTGACCACCACAGCCTGGACCTTCGTCCAATCGCGACTTGTGGCGCGCTACCGGGGCCTGAAGCCAAGGATTCCGTGGGCATCGAGCTGGTTAAGGGGCCAGTGAATGAGCCAGGAAAGGAAGCAAACCATTGGGTGTGAGATGCCTGACTTGGGCCAACCCTGTTAGCCAGTTACCTGCCAGGAAAGCAACACTCTGACAGTGCTGATTCACCTGCTGTGGGCGTTGCTCTCCTCTGACATCGCTAAAATTCGCTATTGGCAAAGTGGGCTCTGAAGCCAGACATTCGTAATTTTCGTGGCCGGGATTTGTCGAAACCTTCTTCTGCTCAAAGGTGTTGGTCGTTGCTGAGCGCAATCTGGCGAAAGGTGATTCTTGGACTGCGGGCCGTCAAGCGGACGGCATTGCTAAAGCATGTCAGTCATAGACTCCATGGTTCGCAACTGAGTCGCAACGTTTCCAAGCAGATGAAGATTGGAAACACATCTTTCGACGCCAAACGGTGCCATAGTGGGCGGAGTAACAGGGTTTGCCTCAAAATGGCAGACGCCCTTCCCGAAAGAACAAAAAAAAGGGTTCCACTTCTTGACGACCCCAGGAAAGACTTAAACCCAGCAGTTCTCCTTTTGGAGGAAAGGCCTTTTGAAAAAAAAATAGACGACCCTGGTAAATGGAAGAGATCCCTAAGCCATTTTTGACCAAGCTATAAAAACGGGGCGTGGCCCTGGCTTGAAGTCTACCCTGATTTCGCCCTAAGAAGTGGAGTCCCCGAACCCTCCGCCGAAGCCGCCGCGGGCGCCCCGGCGCAGCACAGCTTGCCCTGCTGCTGGCCGGCGGCCACGGAGGCCAGCACTGCAATGACCACCTCGGACGGCCGTTTGACGAGTGCTCGGGTCCGGTCCGGGTGTGTTTCTTTCTTTTTCATCATTTTTTTTTGGGGGGGGGCCAAAGGAAACGCAAGAGAAACGCAGGTTCCGTTTTTCTTCTTCTTGTTTCTTCTCATTTTTTCCGGGTGCCAAGGGAAACGCAAGGGAAACTATCATCTTGGGGGGGGCTTGCTGCTTTGCTGCTTTGCTGCTTTGCTGTTTTTTTTGTTTGGTGCCAAGGGAAACGAAAGGGAAACTACCATCTTGGGGGGGCTTGGAGACAGGCTTACTGCTTGAAAAGCCAAAGAGGAGAGATCAGAAAGGGTCACAACCCTCATGAGAGCTCAGGAAGGCACAAGGTCTCAGCTTGCTAGGTCCCATAGCTTCAGGGACAAACAGGGATGGCTTGAAAGGGCAGTGTCTTGCTGCTTTGGAACCGAGGCCTTTGCAACAGCCTCTCCGCTTGATCGGATTCTATTTGGCTTGACGATCGCCACCAAGCATCTGCGGCACACGGCAAGGACAACATATCCTTTCTTTCCCTGCCTGCCACTGCAACACAAGCCTGTCCAAAAGATATTGCTGGCATTATTGCAGGTAACTTGTCATAGATTGAATTCAAGCTGTAAAAAACATGCAAAGAACTCGCAAGTGTACCCAGCAGCATCGAATTGCACGCCTTCGAGATAAAGATCTCATATTTGGCTTTTGAAAGTCTCGAGCATCTATGCAAGCCTCATTATGCGGTGCAAGGCAGCACAGCTTGGAAACCACCATTTGAAATACCACCAGTCAAAATAATAGCACACTACAGCGCCATCATCGTGAGAACCCTGACGACAAACCAGCATGAGAACGAGCAAGAAGCCCGACGATTGACTGCTCCGAAGTGGTTTCGGAAATGGACACATACAACAATATTTGGCCAACACTTATACTTTACAAAATCGGTTCTTCCATCACATGAATCTCTGCAATTGGAAAAGCAACATGTCATATACTCGTGCAGCATGAGTGAAGATGAACGAAACAATGCTGAAATCCGTAGGTATTTAATATACATGAGTGGCGGCTTCATCGTAAGCCCCAAACCCACCCTGCTGCTTGTAGCCTCAGTGCCAGGCTTTGTCCTTTTCCTTCCTTAGCCTCGGAACGCTTCGGTGTTTGTTTGTCCGCCCTTCAACCCCATTGCCCTCCCTCCCACGAACATAGCACCTGACATAGGGTGCCCCCAAAGGACACGTGACCTTTCTGTTAGTGGGAGGAAAGGGAGGCAAGTTTGACCCAACTTTTCGTCATTCCGCATCTCACGGCACGAAACTGCAAACACAGACGAGTAGTATTAAGGCCGGAAAAACAAGCACAAAATCCTGGCTCAGGGTTCGAGTCAGGGTTTTGGCTAGGTTGGTGGACGTAGGTGTAGGTTGTAGGGTAGGTTTAGGTTTGGTTGAGCCAGGATCTGGTGGTGCTGAGTTCTGGCTTCACGCTTGCCAGCCGTGACACTTTTGATGAGGCAGCCTGGCTGCTGCCGCTTTTGCTTTTCCTTTTAGTCGCCTCGCACAGCTACCGGTTGTATCGTGTATGGACTCATTGCAGTGGTGGCTCTTGAAACTGGGACCCTCCAAGCGGGCGTGTCCGGCCATTGCTCGAACCCAACCCCCACGACCGGTGGGAAAGAAGGACCCTTTTGTGGTAGCTGATGTCAAAGGGAAAACCTCATTCCCAAAAAAACAAATGCTTGGTTGACGTTGGAAGGGGAGCAAAAAAAATTAAATTTTAGCAGTTAAGTGGGGATTTCCCACTAAACCACATAAGCAAAAATGCAAAATGTTTCCCAACAACAACCTCAAATGGAGAGCGAGGGGCACCTCGGAAGGTTGGCCGTGCGACTCAAAGCCAAGCTCTCAGCATCCGGCAGGCCCCCCAAGTGGCGCAAAGGCACAAGGTCCTGGACAGAGTCCCAGGTTTTGTCTCTCTCTCTCTCTCTGCCGTTGCGTCCAGAGGGTCTTGC